TAACGAGCAATTTTCATGAAGACTTTCGGCCTTTTTGCTCGAGTAAATGGTTGGTTGGGTAATCTTTACTTGAGGAATACTGAGACGCAGAATTTCGCGCGGGGAATCCCCGGCCAACCGCGCAACCTCAAATTAGAGTCCTCCATGATTACATCACCCGGTTGGACACGCGCCACACGCACAGGCCACGCAAAGTTTAACGTGCGTTATATGGTCCCATACATTGCTTAATAATGATCAAAAATTAGATATTAAGCTGTAATCCACATATTTAACCGATATCTCTCACAAGATATCGTACTCAAAGCACTGCAAAATTATGCTTATATTTATTTTATGTTGAAAAATATAAAGAATAATTATATCCCACCGTCTTTGTACAGTTGCAGCCCTTTGTGGGTTTTCAACGTTGTAAATTTAAACTTACATTTAAACATAATAAGAGGGGATTTTTTTATTTTTAAAATACAAGCAACTCGGTAATGAAATTTCTGCCTTGGCTGTTCCCGGTGAGAGGTTTTATGTACGCACAATCTTAGACTGAAAATTGAGTGTTGTAATGATTAAGAAACAGTTTTTCTGAGAGTTCATGACTATGTTCCTACTCCTTTCTTCGTCCTCGCCCAAATTTGGGATTTAAATTATGGTTTACTATCAAGAGCATTCAGTGTTCATGGCTTTAAGTGGTTTCCCAAAATGAAGGAACCCCAAGAAATCCACAAGAAAGTAACTAAAGAAAATGTGTTGCATTATGTTTACCGGCATCGTTTGTTGACGTTTATTTTTGGTTTGACAGGGTATTTTCTTATCAATGAATGTTTATTTCGTGATTAAGTATTTCCATTTTGGTGATTCGGCTTACAATGTTTATCGCCTGCCAATAAACATGATCATGAGCCATCTTAATCTTACATCTACACAAACCATTTTCCACCATGATGTTACCCTTTCACATCCAAATATCAATTTCCAGACAGTTGTAATTTATATAATGTCGAAATTGGAAAATGGTCGCAAATAATAAATATTCATGGAGGCAGAACATTGAGGAGGCCAAGGCCCGATATGGGCTGTAGAGCCATTGGATGGATGGATACTTCCCTCAAAATAAGAATCCGTGTTTTACACCCATACAAGACGAGTGATAAAATTACAAAAAAATACAAAAATGAATGTCTTCTGAGTTGCTGCACCGTGTACTTTTACAGAAATTGACCAACGTCGCCCTGACGATGGAGGCACTGAGCATCTCTGAAACGTCAGTTAAGATTACAAACTAAACGATAGGCTAATTAATGCTCGCCGCCATGAGAACATGAAATGTCAGTTGATAAAAAGGTTATTTGTAGGTATTCTAATGTTAAACTTAAAGTAGTTTAATTGTATTGGTTATTTCCTTTCTTCTTGCAGTGTTCGTCGAAGGTTCCCCCCCCCCCCCGGTTTTTTCGGTCCCGTGTTAAGTCCAAAACGCTGTGTATTGGTCGTGTTGATCACCTCTCGTGGCCGTAACTCAAGCTTTGTGGCTCCTGGAAGCTGCGAGCATGCAACCCGCAACACGTGTAGCCGCCAGATAAAGAGAGGTTCAGTAATCTGCTGCCGCAACATGACGATACTTCAAAACCGATTTATCATACGTTTCGCTGTGAGATTCTGAGAAATAATTATATTTTGTATCCTGTGAGAAAAACCACGTAAATTATAGTAAATTATAAGAACAAAGTAACTTACATAATCATTCTGTTGCTTTCGGTAGAACACAATGGCAGTTGTGTTTATTCAGTACTTGTGCTAATATCGGTATATAAGTACTTAAGTTATTTATTTTATATAAATAATTATGGGAACACCCTCCCCGAGATAATACAGGCAGGCCTACGTTAAATAAAGGCTATCTAAAATCATTTATAAATATCTTTTTAAATATCTCTTCAGTTATTCACACTATACTTTTACTGAGAACTTTATGTATATAATAATTTCTGTTACTGAGACTTCAGGTGCTCACGGTGGAGAATATGACGATGTCGTCTTGTGAATTGCTGCGTTGTGTAATCTCGTAGAAATTTACCGACGTTTCCGATGTACTTGTTGCTTGCAGACTCCAATATCAGAGTTTTAACAGCCCCAATGATGGAGGCAGCAAGCACTTTTAAAATGTCGGTGAATTCTACTAGACTACACTGCGCGACATCTCGAAAGACAGACATATTCAACTGTTTTGTCGACCAGCGATGCCAAAATTAATAACAAAAATTAATTCATATCGCAGACAAAATAGTTTACTCCTTCAATTTTGTGTAAGGTAAATATAAATGTGAACAGTCTGGGTCAGCTTCTTTCACGAAATATATTTCTACGTGAAATATATTTCCTGCTTCCCTCTGTAAGCTTTGAAAGATTGAGCGACCGTATCAGACCAACACCGTTCCATCGTACAACAGCAAGCAAAGTGAAGACCCTAGTAACCATTTCCAAATCCACTTTTGAATATTGTTGGGGAACAGAAAATCTGTTCCCAGTTGAGGATCATCCTTTTATGCGTCACATACTGGGCGCAAGTGAATCAGACGACGGTAGGATAACCACTCCGTTCTTTCTAGCATCGCAGACGTCAAATTCACTTCAGAGCTCGGACTGAAGCGGCAAGTAAATTTGACAGAAAGGTGTATTCTTGTGTTGCTTCTGGATTTGAAATAAGTCTGTTATAGAAAGGAAACTGCAGGTGAAATTCTAATATCACTTTATACTGAAGTAAATTTACGATTACTTTGGTAGGACAGGCAAAGTCGCGGTCCTTACAGATACTGAATCGTCGTGAGTTATGATATTTCTCGTCGTATTACACATTCGAGTTTGAATCATGTATTGTACGAACATGTAAGTTTGTGTACTCATTGAAGATTTTTGTACTGATTTCCTCCTCAAGAACGCGCCCTAATCTGCAAAGCTAAGAGGAAAAATTAATTTATTTTTATGTATGTGGTCATCAGCAAACAGCTGTTATCTAAATATTTTCTGTGCTAATATCAGAGAACTGGTAGCCCACAATGACTGCAATGAGTGCTATAACTCAGCACTTCTATGTTAGTAACTAACCAAACAATTTCTTAACTTTGTTGGATTCAGATGAGAATTTTACTTTCCGTTACTCTTGATATATTTGTCCTGTAATCTACTTTGTTTCTTAGAATGTCAGTTTTCTAAATATAATAAATTTATAGTAAAGTACTTTGTCTTAAAGGTATTACAAAATACAAGAGAATAACAATTAGTTCCCGATTTAAATAAATTTTAGCTCTGAAATAAACAAAACTGCGTATATGTTACGAAGCACATTATGTTGGAGGAAATCTCAAGTTTGTTTTACAAATTGTATTTTATGAGTGCTTAATATGGCTGATGCTTCTTCATTATAGAATTTTAATTTTGTCTACATCGAGACCAAAATTTAACTCAACCTGTGTAATGCTAAAGTTATACAATCCAAGTTACCAGTTGAATTTTGTAAGTTGGTCGACTTATATGTATGGATTTATTTAGCACTGAAATAAGTGTTATTGAAAGATACATTGACAATAGAGATAGCAAGATTATTATGTACAAGTCTTTTCGTCTCCAATATGAATTTACAAGAATTAAAATATTAATGTTGAAACTGTTCTTATAATGTTACTCAAGCTGCGGCAAAGTCTAAGGGATATTTCTTAGATATTAGATACTGATCCAAAATAGTTTCTTCAGAGTTCTGTAATATAGCTGTACGTTTAATGACCAATGACCTCGTCTTATAAAATAAGACTTATAGAGATACAGGTTCCAGAATTACGTGTAACATAGACCTCTATAAAAACGCGTCATATGAAGAATATATGATACTGGCCACTTAAGTTTGCTTGACGCGTGTTTTTGGCCAAGCTCTTCACGACTTGTTTTATTCAACGGCACAGCAATGAATGTTTACAAAGACGAAACACGTTTTGAGCGGTGGTGTTCGCTCCATTGTTCACACTGCTCATACGATTTGTAGAAATAAAAATGTAAAGTTATTTTGAAAAGCAATACTTAGCAGAGCATGCGCAGACCCTGTCATACCAACCTCTTCCCCCCTACTGTAGGAAATCAAGGTATATGACGCGGAAAATAAACATGTTACTTATTCAACTGCTTCGATTTTTATACGCTACAGTGTCGAAAATAAGGACGAATGTGATTTGATAAATTGGAAAGAACTTGTAAGAGACAAGGACTTTCTTTACAGTACCGTCGCAGAATTTTCGTGGTAAGGCCAAAAAGGATCACTGAACACTGACATTATAGGGAGTCTTAACTCCTAGACATTCTAAGTACAAATCTGGCTTGTTAACCACTCAATCACAACTTTCGATGTATCAAAACAAAAGAGGAATATTTCGGTACAGATTGTAAAATGTTAAAACAGTTGAATCGAAACTTTGTAAGGTGTAATAAGGTTAGTAGGGCTAGAGAATCAGAGTTGCTTGAATGTGTGTGGGACATTCAATATTGTCAGAAAATATCACAACAGATACACAAGGTTTATAAACCTGTATTATGTTTGTACGGAGACTTAATGTTAAGGAGTGTTTTTCACTGAGACTAAGCCAGCATGAAGTCTTCCTTATTTTTAAGGACAGATTTTACCCTCAGCAATCCTTCGTTCTTTCATATAGCATTTCTCGCAGTTAATATTCGGTCGGTATTGAAATTATTCAGGGAAAATAAAGTAGGTATCAGACTGAATAAGGTTCAGTGAACAAGAAGCGTGTAAATGGATTAGATCCTACACAGGACCTAAGTGTAAAGGAAAACAGGGTACCCAACATTTGATTAAACACTTGGATTACAAGCACGTTTATATCTACAGAAACCAAAACAGAAGGTTAGCAAAGAGAGATGTTACACACAATGAATCGCAAATACTTCTCAAATGAGCTTTTTGCGATGTAATATACCCTACTGACATTTATGTTTGTTTATTTCAGATGCAAATCACGACGACCGAAGTCACACCTATTTGAGTTACATTTTATGATTACTTTGTTAAATAAACACCACATCAAAATTGTTTAAATTTAGCTGTTTAGAGCCTATTCTATATCAAGCGCAAATTGTTAGAAGAATGAAACATTTTGAAGAAGAACCATAAAGTTTACTTTGAACTTTAGATAAAATAGGGTTATTTTTAATCGATGTAAAAAGTAATTAAATTTACCAGGAGACATTTTCACTAGATCCACAATACAAAATCTGTACATTAATTTTGGAGCTGAAACGTAAGACCAAACAGGTCTGTCAGTAACGTGCTCATTTTGCAAATGACAATAATTTCGTAAGACCAATACAGTCTTGCAAAAGAATCGAAATTAAAACTAATTCAACATTGATCATTTAAACACTAACAATTCATTAATCACTTGAATCTGATATCCAAGTTTAACCAAACTAAATAACATCTAATAGCAAGTGACTAATAAACCCTTGGATCACATCTTCATACAGATTATGAAATTAAAAATTGAAAAAAATATTGAAACACCGTAAAATAAAAAGACCCGATTGAGATCACTCAATGAAGTATCTGAAAACACGCTCGGTACAGAGTTTCGATTCTCGGTAGAGACAAAAATTTCCTTTTCGCCACTGTATCATGGGATCAACCTGCATAATCTCCTATCCAGTACTTACAGGGGGCGCTTTCCGTGAACTGAAATGACAGACACGTGAAGCTAATAAATTACCTTCACATAACACCAAAGCTTGGAATGAGTAGACTACCTAGACTTCCAGCTACTCGCTTCTTTACGTCTCCATGGCACGGTGCTTAGACACAGGGGCATTTTAAAACTGTAACGTTAAATAAGTGAGTTTTTAGGGTATAAACTGGTTTTAAATGGATTGAGATATGTTACAGAACAAAAGAAATTTATAATAATTGTATTAAATTCTGAAAGAAGACTCCGTAGAATTCAAATGTATACGGTTCATATTTCTGAACACTGTGTAAGCATTGTCTTAAGATGAATTACTTCGTACCAGCCGCATGACACCCATCTCATCAGAACTTTCTTTGCCAGTAACCACAACCTTTGGTTGTCCCTTTTTCTTCTTTTTATTATTTAGCTTTGAAGAATACTCAGGAAATTAAGTTTCAAAAATAGAGACTGACGTGGGGGGAGAAGAAATTGATAAGCTCTCAAACGGCATCAGTGAGCGTCTGTTACCGCATTAAAACACAGTGTTTTGCTCGCAAGTATATATCCAACTCTACGCACTCTCAAGAGTGTAGTTCTCTGGTTCTCAGGATGGATCGTACTCAGTCCATTCCACGCAAATTTATTTTTACATCTAACAAAACAGATGTCACAAGATGTATGACTACTGATTCCATGGAGCAGTATTCGTCCTGAGAAGCTGATAGTAGCTTAGAGGTAAAAGATCATCACTTTATGTTATTAAAAATTCATTACCATGTTCACCACTGAACCATATCCTGAGTTAACATGAATATAACTAAAATTAACACAGTATTTTTCGAAAACCTATTTTAATATTATCCTCAGAAGTGAGTCATAGTGAGCTAGGTCTTTCAAGAGGCCATATATCAATTTTATTTACGATGATAACTTTTCTAGTTATTTGATAAAATTCAATTTGATCTTTAGTTATTTTAACTTTATAAACAGTAATAATTAGTAGAATCAAACTCTGTTGTCTTACAGAATGACGGATATGGAATTCACAACCGGCGTTCACTTTGTGAACTTGACGGAAGGAACGAATAAAAGGAACTACAGCCCTCATATTCAGGGAAGCGAGAATCCAAATGACGCAGGGAGCGTTTTCGTGGTTCAAATGACAGGCTGTTTTCCATTGTCAAAGAGCTGCTCAAGAAATAGTGAGACACATCACGGAAATGCGCCTTATCTTTCTGGTCTCTCTGTAAGACGTCAATCAAGAAACCAGGAGCTGCCTGTTATCACAGCTCCACCGCCCTCTCTCCTTTTGAAAAACAATAACGAACAAGCGAAGACCCAAACCGTAGTAAAACCGTTATCTTAAATTTTAAGAAAGACATGCGAAGTCATGAGGAGGAAATTAAAAACTTCGGGAGTGTTGGGCAAGCAATTTAAATTGGCAGTTACAGAAAAAGCTACCCTTTCACATCGAAACATGCCTGAATATCTCCTGTTACCCGCTTTCTTACAACCGCGTTGCTTTCTGGTAAGATACTGATGTGCTGTTGGCCTGTTTCATTGCATCACTTCTTATTTTCAGTGTTATTTATGATTTATTTTCTCTCATTTAATTAAATGTTACAATAAACCAGGAATGTGAACACGATAACGAATTTCAGAACTATACTGCATTGCTGTTATAGAACCAAGAACAAACGTTTGTGTAATGTGATTGCCAGTCAGGAGAAACGAGAATTTCGATTTGAAGATATCCAATTAAACTTTGATAAGCAAATGTTTGTAAATTATCTTAATTTTGTTTATTTGCAATGAACCTATTCTTTAATACGTTGGCCTAATATACTGTTTCGCATTTTTGCACAAGATTAACTAACTACTTCTAAAAGAAATATTTTGAATTTTTTAACTTTCTTTCGCTGAAACGTGGGTAAACATAAGATATGATTGACTGTCACAGCATTTACTGTTACATAAAATCTAACAGAAAATTATTTTCATTAATTTTTTGGAGCTCAATAATTTTTACTCAGAATTCCAAATGGAGAGTTTACTTAAAAAAAAAATGTTTAAACAATTTTTTATGGTACGGTAACACAATTTGTTTTTTTGAACAAGTTTCCAAAGTTTATTAAGAGTCCAGATTATTCGTTACTAAATAATACAGTGATATCAGAACACAAAATTTCAACACTGCTAATGCCAAAGATAGTAACAGGAGAAGACCCTGAGCCATCCTCCATTCATTTTCCTGTGACCCTGTGACTACTCTTCCGTCTTTATCTCGAGATTTATAGTGGTTTCCCCATAAAAACTTTGCATGCATTCATTTCCTACTGAATCCTATCTAAACGATTGTGAAGTTTCTGGCCAAATAGTATATCAAATTTTACACTTCTTTCTGACTTAATCTTAATTTATCGATACTTTTAAGCCCTCTCACTGGAAAGTTTAAACTTTTACGAAGTTTGATTCCATACGAATCTCAGAAAAGTTATTTGTTAGATTTACAACGAACGTAATATTCATATTCAACCATTTCTGGCTACTTGATTTAATTAGACAAATTATAATTGTTGTTATTTTTCAAGAACCTTTTGTAACCAGCAACGAAGATAATTTCATTCTTTTCCATTTGACCATGAAATGCTATATTACGCCACTGAATATAATAGCAAAAAGGGTGAATGAGATGGAGGGACACAAAGACATATTTCTTCTTCTATCTCTCGCCGTGTTATCTTCTGGTTCTCCCGTTCTGCTTTACCCCATAACCAAGGATTGTGTCTGGAGATGCTAATAAAACATGATACAGTACACGAAGATGTGCCACCAACATTACACTTCGGACCAAGAACGAGCGGGAAAGGTTCTCATAGATTACCATAATAAAGTCTCTCTCTCTCCCACTTACACATAAGAGTACTGCAAACATTTACCGGCTTCTCTCTCTGTCTTATTACGAAGAAGTTGCTGTGAAAATGATGATGAGTCTTCTAAATAGGAATATTATTGATTATGAAAGATGCGACTTAATCGTAAGCATTGCAGTTTCTGTACACAGGGTGATTCAAAATTCAAGCAAAGACCGAGCATCTAGTCATGAACAAATAAATGGCTCGTGGTGACTCATAGGGTAGTCTTGACAGTATTTTATAACACAGGCCTATTAATTTCAGAAACCCAAATCAATTTAGTGTGGAAATTATTGAATACATTTAAATTAAATCATTTTACATAATTATTTGAATTATTATATCAATTACGTATTCTTATCTGGCAATTGAGAAGTTAACGTTTTTCTTGATTACGAACAGAAAGTGAATATGTGCGAGATTTCAGGTTCTTAGGGCACCAAGTATTTAATGATTTGTCTACTGGGATGTTGTGCCGTGCAGTCTGATAAAAAATTATCGACGTTTCAGAAGGGCATACTGCCTCCACAATCATTGAGAATTATCAGTGTCCAAGCGAATGAAAATAATTGCTAAAATATATTTTGGTGAACAATGTTATACCTATGGCCTGAAAGACACGGGTTTGATTCCGGCCAGGAGAATTAGAATATTTCAGCCACCGTATCCAGACATATATTCTAGCGAATATTGGGAACTTTTTGGCCGATGGTACAGATAAAAGCGCGTGGAGCTGACCGCTGTGTACTGCGTAACGGAGAGGTCACTATTTCACAGTTATTTACCTCTGACCATAATAAACGCATTCTTAAAAAGGGGTGACTTTTTTGTTTGTTTTGCTTTTTAAACTGTAATCAGCTGGAAGAATATTATACACAACGGACCCAATTACTTGTAACTTTATAGGACATGCAAAACACAAGTTACGATTGCAAAACAATTATGAGGTGTTAACCCGAATATCTTTGGCCTTTGCAAATGGAGCCAATAAAGCCAGATCTGTCTGAGAGGCCAAGGATTCTCCAAACAAAGAAGATAATCATAATATGTCTTGTAACTTGTAAAATTTAATATAGTACATACCAACTATTACGAAATATTTAAACAGATAGTAATAACCTTCTTTTGTAGTAAACTCAAGATTTTAGCAACAACTGAACTTTGTTAATACGTTAAGTAACATGTCATTGTTGTGTTTATTCCTTTTTTAAACTTTATAACTTTTACAAGAACATTTATAAATTTATTTTTAATCTTCGTTTGAAACAGATAAAATTCGGTTAACCTGCAAACCGGAGTATCTGCTCCTAGATAATCGGGAGTCTAATGTATTTGATTCTCGAACACCTACACAAAACACGGTTTTTCTCAGGAGTTCTCTCCGCTCCACTCTTACCCCCTCCTGTAGGTTCTAACTTATACTGGCCATACGTTCACATGAGATACAGAGTAATTATAATGGGGACAAGGTGTCTTGGAAATCCCAGTACATAAGTTTAAGTGGAGAGTATCAAGGGCTTTAGGTACATTTGATAATATTTATGTGTTATTGGAGATTATCTTTGTTTCAAAACATAATGATACATACTACGCATTGGGACGGTACTTACGAACTTGCAAGCAGGTGAAGTACCTTCTTGGAGCCCTCGCCACCCTCACTTCTAATTCACCCCTCCTTCGCCTGCACTTGAATATTTCATCGTAACACTACCTTAGACGTCTTTAAAGAAACTATTACACTAAATTTTCGACAAAAGTAAACTTTGAAGTCGACCACTATCCCGTGTACAGTTTACAGTGAATGTTTTGCAACATAGATGTATACCAATAGTTGCATTAAATGTAAAATATTTAATGATATTGTGTAGGTACTGGTAACTCAATACGTATCGGTTTTCTTCAGAACTTCAAGACCAATGTCTGGAAAAATTTGTGTAGATTTCAATTTCACCGTAGAAATATCGGCCTTAGAACTGTCTTATTCTAAGCTAATAGAGGTCTGGACTTTTGCAGTGGTAGGAGCGTGCCAATCGATAGGTAGATAAAAAAATTAAAAAGTAAAGAAATAAGCTTAAAATACTAATAGATAGACACATGAATAAACAAGCTTTTCCAATGGTATATAATTATATTATTTATAATGTGTACGCATGTATTCTTGAATGTATGTGTGTAAGTAATGCATGCATGCATATCTGGCTTCGTTATGATCAAGGCATATCAAAAGGCTCTGACTGCATGAACGATAATAATAATAATAACAACAAATTCCTACAAAAGAAACAACAGAAATGTGGCACCAGAAACAAGTGTACGTGGTACAGCAATTGTATTTTATACTTGAATTTTTCCAACCGTTCTACATAGCAGAATCTAGAGCTACCGAAGGACATGCATCTACATTCAGCTTTAAGAAAACAGCCAGAAGACACATTCTGATAGTCCGTAAATATTAAAATGACAGTGTCACATTACAATGGAATTAATTCAACACATAACATTCACAATTACTTTACATACTGGTGTGTAACAATATATTTTAAGGTATTTGCTACATCGCGAACTCGTCAGTCAACTGAAATGTAATGGAGAATTAATAATTCAATTCAATTCTTTATTATTAGTATGCTGTATCAATAACCAGAAGCCCAATTACAGAAACAGCACAAGAAACAAAATAATAAATATAGGAAGTAATAACAAACAAAATATAAAAATAAATTAGTACGGAGGGCGCTAATACAAAAATAAAATTGCTACTAAATACATTAGTATATTTGTAATAATAATTTAAATAAATGAAGGAAATTAGACTATTATAGAATGTGATAAAGTGTAACCATTTTCGTCTCGAATATATCCAAGTCCCTGCAGATAATAATAATAACAGTTAAATTAATAGTTAACAATGGCTACATCACTACAAATAAACAAATAAATCTATACAACGGTAAAATGTTATTTGCAGTATAAAACAGTTGACTTGTTCATGACAGGACCCTTCTCAGAGAAAAATAAGATATGAATGCATTTAAATCATTCCTATCAGCGCCGTATGTTAAACATCCATATTCTCTGTGTGCATCCGTCTGCATATAGGATCTGCATTTGTGACAACATTCGCTACTCGCGATTACATCTCGCTGCGTCTCCTTCTGCAGCCAGCTCCCTCGCTCTGCCTTCACACACACAGCTCCATAGTAGGTGAGGTTCATTGGTGATATATAGTAGAGGATTATATATACTTCTTTCTCATAACTTTATATTCCACCCACCCCCTCGTCTTGGTTTTCCCACTACCCCCTCCGACCCCCCCATTCTACCCGTCTCTGCTGCTGGTAAGGTTCTGGATATCTTAATAAGATTCATGAAAGGACGCTATATTTTATCCGCCAAGCCTCGTTTACCAGGGGAGGTGGTTCTTGGTAAACCGCACATACACACATTTCCAAAGATAAACCTCGTTCCTGCCTTCTTAGAGGCTGGTTCACAACGCAGACTGTTAACAAAAGTAGCAAAATTGTAGCACGATGGACGAAAGGAGCTTATACCTACTATTATTAAGGCAGAGGATCGCGTACCCTTGATGGTACGAGGAACATAAGAATATTACGAATGTATTGATTCTGTCCATAAATACCAATATATTTAAATAATAATTCAATTCAATTGAATTCTAATAAAATATGTATCTGAAACTGGAACGTTGGCACGATCATATCAGACACATGTAATGGCGTCACTGTCAAACATTAGAGAGTGTTTCTACGAAACAAAGCCATTCCTTGAACAGAACACGTCTTAAGGAAGAGGCATTCATTTTGCTAAGGGTGAAGTTGACAACGCGATTAAGAACCACGCCATCAAGGCTTTGGAAGTTGGACGTAAACTCCAAGTATTCTTAACATCGTCATAAG